AAAAATAAGTTTATGTTGCTTGTGACCTACCTAGTCTCCAGTACTTTATTATAGCAGCCTGCACGGACTACAAAAATATATGTGTGCATTTAAGCCTCTAAGTATAGATAAGTGTTTATTCATATGTGTATAGATATACACAGATATATAGGCATGTAAAATATACACTAGCATGAGGAGGAGAGTACAGGGAGCTACAGGGGTGCAAGGTCCTGGTATTGCATTGGAAGTACCAAAAAGATAGTATTAGGAAAGAAGAAATAAAGTCATTCTTCACAGATGACATGATTGTGGATAAAGAAAATATGACAAACTCCACAGAAGCGATTATAATTGATAGGTGAATTTAGCAAGATTTCTGAATAAAAGGTAAGGCTACCCAAATCAAATACATTTCTATATATCAACAATTAGAAAATAAAAATGAAAAATACTATTCATACTAACATGAAAATAAAATGCTTTGAACAAATCTAATAAAGTATGAATCTCGCACCAGAGAAGTATAAAATATTACTGAGAGACATTAAAGTCAAATAAATGGAGGGGCAGATAGTGGACTTGAGAGATTGAAAGATATCAATTCTCCCACAAATTATCTATGGATGTGATGGACTCCCTAGAAAAATGATGGTAGCATGTATTTTGCGGTGCCTGACAAGCTGACTCTAAAATTTGCATGAAAATACCAAGGGCCAAGACTAGCCAGAGTATTTCTGAACTAGAAGAACAAAGTACCAATGGAACTGGAGGTCAAACTTTATTATAAAACGTGCCTTGGCACAATGTGAGACACATAACAGAGTGCCCAGAAAGGACCACTGCTTTGTGGAATAGACCAGTAGGGAAAGGATGGCCTTTTCGATGAATGTCAGTATGCCCAGCAGATGCCCATATTGCAATGTGAAAACCAATCCATAACTCATGGCGTACACAAAAATCAGTTCCAAGTAGAGTGCAAGTCTTAAGGTAAAAGCCAAAACCTAGCAACTACAAAAGATCCAATTGGAGAATATATTCATGATTTAGGAGTTAGGAAAAGTTTTAAGAGAATACAGAAAAAAATCACACTAAATATACAGAAAAAGGACAACACATTGAGTTACTTAAAATGAGGGATTTCTATACATCAAATGGAGAAAATGAAGAGGCATGAGAAGAATGAAGATGAAATGGCAAATAAAAGGGGGAGAAGAGATATGCAAAATAGTAACCAACATGGTCCACATGCAAAATAAAGAACACCTTCAAATTAGTCAGTAAAAGGCAATCCAGTAAAAAAAAAAAAAAAAATAGGCATAAGACTAGAATTAGCACTTTGAAAAAAAAATGGTGAATAAACATCCAGGTTTCCCCTGCCATCTAAAAGTAGAACGTTCCTATCTGGTATGATTTGACAGGTTATATTTTTGGATATGGGAATGCTATTACCATGAATTTATATGGAAATTTATTGAGCATCCTCAGACCCAAAAATAACCTACCCAATCATACCAAATAAGAACATTCTACTTTTGGATAGTGGAGGAATATGAAAATAATCCCCATTCACATTAGTAATAAAGAAAATGCAAATGAATCCACTGTACACTCAACAAAATTATTTTTTAAAAATGGTGGGTAAAAATGTGAAGTAATTGCAAATCTTCTGTATGCCTAGTGAGAAGGGAACTTAGCACACCTACTTTGGAAAACTGGAATTATCTACTGGAAGTGAACATGTGCAGTATATGTGTGGCCCAGTAATTTGACTCCCATGTACCTATCCAATAAAAAAAGATACCCACATGTGCACCAAGAGACATGCACAAGAATATTTACAATAACATTATTTGTAAGAGGTGAAAATTGAAACACCTTAAACATCCATCAATGGTAGAAGGTTATATAAATCCATATAAACACACTATATGTATAATGTTTTATAATATATAATGTGTTATAAAAGAGTTAAGATGAATATAGGTCACCATTACATGCAACAGAAATGGATCCATCTTATAAATATGTTATTCAAAAGAGTTATAAGCAAACAAATATTCACTCAATGATTCCATTTATATAAAGTATATAAAAGTCAAAATTAATCCATGGTGTTAACAAAATACTATTTATATTGGGAAAGAAAAGAGGGAGTAGTGATTAGGAGGAGTGAGAAATGTTTCTGGGGGTGGTTCTAGTGTTCCACTTCTTCACCTAATGACAGTTACACAGAAATTGGGATACTTTGCCAAGCAGTACACCCGTGCTTTTCAACTAGTAGTAATGTAGGGGACATTTAGCAATGCTAGGAGGAATTTTTGGTGTCACTCCGGATGAGGGGGTGATACTAGCATCTAATGGGTAGAGATCATGGATGCTGCTAAACATAGCACAATGCATAGGTCAGACCCCCTGCTCCAATAAGAAAATCAAGTCACCCAAAATATCAATAACGCTGAAAGTGAGAAACCTCAATGTGCACTTACTATGTGTGCAACTACTCTCTAGTAAAAAAGAGAGAGAAGCCATGTGCATATGTGTGCACAATTACACAAGGATGCTACTCTTTCCAAGTTTTCTTATTTCTTTTAGTTTTTGCTTCTTGTTAACTTGATTTATTGCCTTCTAATGGTCACTAAGAGCTGAGTGGGACACATGTTCCTGCAAAATTGTAAGCACAGGAAACTAGGGTTGGGGAAATTCTGTTCATTTAGTTATTACTTCCTCAGTGACTCATTTTTTACGATACTGGAAGAACCATTATGGCCAAATCATGAAATGACAAATTAAGGGGAGCAAAACTGGAGAGCCCTTACTCGTTCTGAGACAAACTTTCTAAGAAGTGTTTTCTGTGTACAACAGACTTTCACATTACTTAACCAAATCGAAAACGTATCCTGTTGCTTCTAAGCAGATTATTGATTCTTTATAAGTATATGATAAAGTATGATATGATACTTTTATGAAAACATATCCTGTTATCTCAAAGAGTATTCTTGATACTTTATAAGGATATGCTACTTTATCTGTATCAGTATATGGAGAAAGATCCAAAATCAGTAATTTGATTTCATGGGAAAAATCAGAGGGTATCCAGAAGTATGTTTGCATCCTGACTTGCAGGTGACTGAACTCAGTTTAGAAAATACAGATACTGACAAAGGCTGTGCTGTGATCCATGTCAATGATCCCATCAATGTCCATTCCCCCAGATTTGACAAAGAGAGTTCCCTCTTTATGGGCAGTTTTAAGTACTAAAGGAGATTTATTTTTGTGTGACAAAGAACTGAACATGGCTACTTAACAAAATCAAAGTAATGTACCCCAGGAAAGTAATAAAATGAATGCTTCATTTCTTTAGGACTGCTTAGCTCAATGCATTGTTGAAGTGATAAGAATTACTCAATTCAGGATCAGTTTTATGAAAAAGTATAGGAAAAGTAACACTAGTTAAATAGTCTAAAAACCCAATATGGGAATCTGCAATAGAATGCAGGAGCTGACATTCAAAGAAGTTGGGAATGGAATGGAAAATCACGGACACTTACTACTAAACATGCACTTTTCCTAAGATAATCTCTTACTCCTATAAGAGGATGAAATATGAAGGGAAACCATGAATTCCAAACCAACCAAGTGATACCAGCATCTGCGACATCAACCACAGCAGAGAAAGATGAACTTGAAGTTGCCTTCAGATGACATTACTAGAGATCTCCCAGGACAAAGGAGATAAAGGTAACTGGAGAGAGAGAAGACATACCTGTGGATCCAGGGAGAAATGTCTCAAAAGAATGGAGTTGGGCAGATCTCAGGAGTAGTAGAGACTGTGTCACGTTTCGACTCCAGTTTCACTGAACTTAGAGAACAAAGATCCATGACTAGCACCCGGGCCAGCAGAGTGAAGCTCACGGCCACTCTATTCCCGTGGACGAAACAGAGTGAGTGAGAAGATTGCCTCCCTTGGCTGTCTCTAATTTCTCAAGGAGGTTTGAAGGAAATTCAGCAATTACTCCAGATTTGCTCTTCAGCGGATCTGGAAAGCATGCTTCATATTTCATAGTCATCTTGCCAGCCACCCAAAATGTCTGAGGAGGTCTAAGGGAAACAGCCTGTGCCTTCTGAGAAGCCAACTGGGGATCTAAGAGAGGAAGCCCTGGGTGGTTTTGAAACTTAAAGAGAGACCTGGTTCTGTGAGAGTACTAAGTTTGCTCTATTTTGTAGTGTTTAAAAGTAGAAATACTGTTATGTCTCTCTCTCTCTCTCTCTCTCTCTCTCTCTCTCTCTCACACACACACACACACACACACACAAGACCTGCCTAGGCATTGCTGAGCCTGTGGTGCTTGGGCGACACTTTTAACCTTTCTCTCTATCCCTACATTTAAAATATGCTTTCTCTCTGGCTTCCTCCGCTAGTCCAATCCCCTCAGTCATCAAAATCACAAAATTCACACCAGGGCAATGGAACTCACGCGACTTTGGCACACACTGTGCACTTCCAGCTGCCATCGAGGCCCGAGACCCGACACTCACTGCACACTCTGAGTGAGCAGGCCTGGCACGGGTCTCCCCGGTCGAAGATTAAGCCCAAGTGTTTCTGACAGTGAACACAGACTCTCCTGGTCTCCTGGTGGGTCTTCCCACTTCTACGTTTTGCTTCTAAGAGTTCATTTTTCAGCTTCCTGGAAGGAGAGGAGAAAAAAAATCACTATTTTGTCATGAGAGTGTGCTTACATTTCCCTTAACTTCTCCAGTATATCTTTGACACCATTACCTTGGAGCACAAGCCCAGGCCAGGAGCAGGTGTAATATTACATTCCTTACCTGTGTAGGTATACTTCACCAGCGTAGAGTTGGAAATCAAACTTGTTAACACTTTCCTTAAGTGATCTAAGAAGAATTTGCTACGAAGACTTGGCCCACCACTCCAGATCGAAATGCTCTGCTTAGCGTCTGAGGGTTCCCAACAATTTCCATTGACCTGTGGGCTCTGCTGTCAGACATGTCTGTTTGAATCAAGTTCCCTCATGAATTAGTTGTCCAAACTTAGGCAATAAGTGACCCACTCCAGCTTAGTCTTTTCATTTCTAAACTGAGGGCAATAATGGTCTTATATGACAGTTTTTAAGATTAGATGTGATAATATATGTAAAGTTACCAGCATGGTACCTGGCACATAGGTACTAAATAAATGCTAGCTCCATATCCCTGCTTTTCCTGGCTGACCTGTGATCTGTAAAGATGTGTGGTTATATGATGTATGTACACAAAAATACACTGTAGAATTGGGTATTCAAAGTGGGTTCCTTGTTCTAGAAATAACAGCATCATCTAGGGGTTTGTTAGGAATGCTGGGTGTCGGGTCCCACATCAGACCTACTAGAGTAGATTCTGCATTTTAACCATATCTCCAGGTGATTCAAGGATGAGCAGCACTGGTTTGGAAAATTTGTCCTCAAATTCTGCTATACAGTGGAAATACCTGGAAAGGCATTTCCCAAGTCTCCTCTCCACAGAGGCTAATGTAATCGGTTCAGGGTGTGGCCTACATAATATTTTTAAAACTTTCCTATTTAGTGTAATATACCGCCAAATTTGGATAGCACTACTCTGGAAGTAGAGTACTACTTCAACGAATGGCTTCAGTGCAGAAATTTAGTCCAGAGCCTGGCAGGTTTGTTCTCTCTCCTTCCAGCCCAAGGTCTCTCCTACAACCAGTCAGGATGAGAGGCATCCTGGCTTGATCCCCCTCTTCGTCTTCACTGGAGCCAGAGGGACAGGAGCAAGCGCTGTACATCATGTGTCTGGCTTTGTTCAACCCAGGTGTTATTTGGAACAGAAAGAATAACCCAGGCTCCTGGAGCAAAGTGGGTCCCAATGATCAACACAAGTTGTACTTGGTGAGCGTAGATGACAGCAAACTGAAGAAAGAAGGCCCAGGCTTCTACATGAAGTATTTCACTATAAACCTGCTTAAAATGAAGGTCTTCTGGAAGCCATCAGCACAACTTTCCATTCAATCAGGAAATACTTCCCCTAAATGCACAAAATCATGTTGGCATATTATATTGGGGTTTACATTGATTAGTAAATGTCTGAAACTTGGGGGGCACAAAAAGAAAACCACAATTATATTATTTGGGGATTGCAATAGATTTCTGAATACCACAGACCAGAGGAGAAACAAAACACTGCCAATTCAAAATCTATAAAAATTCATGTAAGTGCAATAAAGAAACATAGTGATCAAAATGAGTGGAATAAAAATAGCAATCTCACACAGCACTCATATCTGAATAGGCTAGTGGACCAGAGAGTAACAAACTGAGAAAGTGGGGGTAATTCAGGATATTTTAGAGGTTATTTTCTTCTAGAAAAAAATTCTATGATCAGATATCTGACATTTTAACCACTTTGCAGTTCCTTAAAGTAGAGGGGGTAAGACCCCTGAGAGAAACCATGGCCATAAAGTCAAACATTTATGTTGCCTCTCCCCTTATGCTGTGCTGAACCGAATTTATTTAGCAATAGGGTTTCACTTAGTTCACATTTCTAGAATCTGAAAGGACTTGGACTTGGGGCTCAGTACATATAGGCCACCAGGAAGCAAGTATTTAGAGGTTCAAATATACTAGTTGGGGAATTCCTAGGGCAATTGGAGCTAACTGCCCCCCAAACTCTGGGAGCTAGCTCTAGGACAAGTGGGATCAGCTGGGAAGAATTCCATAGGCTGCCACAAAATATTAAGTTTCCAGGTATTTCAAATCTCTCTTATAAATTCACCTACTTCAGCCATATCTAGGATAATTCATATTAAGTGGACACAGCCATTTTCAGACACTAAAGAAGTGGAGGAGGGGCAATAGAAAGGTAATTGCTATCAGGAAAAAATGTGTCCAATTGAAGAATTAGTTGCAAATGGAAACACAGAGAGCTGGGCTGGTTTTACTGGCTTAATGTTTGTCTTCCCAAATCCTCTGTAATTTCCATGAAGGCAAGACTATACATTATTTATTTTGTTCAGCTTTGAATTTGCAGCACATAACCATCACCTACAACACAATAGATCTCACGTCACTGAAAGAATAAAAGAAAGCTTATGTTAGGAAGTCACTTGGAGAGAGGAAGGGAAGGAAGAAGAAAGTGAAAGCAAATAAAGCAAGGAGGGAGGGAGGCAGGCAGGCTCAGCCACGCTGCTTACTAGATGCCACTGGCCATTCCAGTTAACCCCTCTGGATCTCAGTTACTTCAACTTCAAAATGAAGATAATACTTTTCCTTTCTTCCTCCCAGGGTATTTGAGATCCAGAGGCAATAAACTATGGTAGTACTTAGCTTTTTAAATTATAAAGGCCTTTATAATAGGAAGCCATCATTATTAAAAAGAGAATGAGATGAGAAACAAAGGTACAATGTTGGACCTGTTAAGAATAAAGTACAATTAAAATGGGCTAAAATTCAGATCACATACACCGCAAAAAAAAGTAACATAAGCCTGAGAAAATGACAGATTATTCTAGAACTTTTTTCTATCTTCCTTGTTCCTACACTTCTGTTCAGAAAGCAAATTTTGATTCTTGAAAATATTAAATGACTATTGTGTCTGTTTGTGCTTGTCTGAAGAGCAGATTATAGGAGATGGATGAAAAAGTTTAGTACAGATAAATATGGCTAAAACCAACTTTCAAAACTGATGAAGACTACAGGGATGCAAGGAAAGAAAAAAAGCTTAAGACATTTTATTCCAGCTGACACCGGTTTTTCATCTGAGATAAATTCAGGACGCTCTTGCATTTTAAAATATCAGTGTCTTTTTGTTTCTTTAGATCTCCTTGTTGCTACAGATATATTCACATTACCATGTGAATTGATGACCCATATGTATTTGAAAGCTTAAAGGCTGAAGAGAGAAAAAAAATTTCAACTGTAATTGAATGATAGGATCTTTTTATTTCTATATTCTGATGACATCCTGAATTCATTATTTGCTATCCCATCATCAAAAATGTTCAATGCATTACTAAGATTGCTTGCTTTATCACTGTGCAGACACATTCCCTTCAAATCAGGAATTGCTTTAATTAAAATTCCTGTCACATTTGTGTAACATTATTTTTCTTTTGTTATCCTGTGTAGACCCAAATGCACTGAACACTATTTTGCACCAAATAAGAGGGATTTTAGAACAGAAGCAATAGGTATCAATTCACAAAGCATCTTTGATTCCTTGAAGCTTTTAAACAATCCCCAATCTCCTCTTGCTAAACCTCTAGGACTAAGACAGATAATGAGCAAGGAAGGAGTATGTGGTGGCTTCAGATTATGGGAATCTGAAGTCAAGACAATCTGCATTCAAATCCTGGCAATGCCACTTATTTCTTTGGTGACTTTACGAAAATCAGTTAATCTGTGTCTCAGGACATAAAGACGTTTAACCTTTCTGTGTCAAAAACACCCCCTCTGGAAAACAAAAACCATAATAGTTACAACCTCATAGGGTTGTTGTGAGCTTCAAGACAGTACCTTTGTGAGCACTGAGTAATGAGTAAAGCACAGAAATTGGAGAAGAAACAATTCTGGTATGTGTCTCCAAATATGTCTGCCCTCATCTTTTCTATTAGTGGGATATCTGGTGAGGCTCATGGCCATTCACAATAAAAGACTATATGTCCAAGTGTCCTTTCTGTTAGTTTTGTCATGAGACTCAAGGTTAGCTAATATGTGATCAGAAATGACACAGGCAACCTCTAGGTTATGCCCCTAATAGACAGAGGTATGTATCTCTTTGTCTCAAATCCTCCTTCCTTCCAAGAGGCTGAGATGAGAACATAGAAAAGAACTACTGGATCAAAAGCTCAACTCTCAAGATGGCACCCAGACCCACACTATAATGGAACCATCTAACAGTATCACAAAGTTGCCAAACTACCCAGACCTTTCCATGAGAGAGTAATATATTCCCATCACATTTAAACTGTTAATATGTTCTCTGTCACTTCCAGTCAAACCTATTTCCCAACAAATACAATGAAAACTCAGTAAATATTAGCTCTCGTTATTATCGTCGACTTGCAGAGGTATTGCTATCAGCCTGTGCTGTATGCCTGCAAGCTTCAGCCTTGCCTAGGGTTAGTTTCAGTCTCCTCTAAGAGAGCATGACCCTGGGGACTGCCAGAAAGTGCTGTCAACCCAGAAACAATGAGACAAGAATCACTGAAATAATATATGCGGGCGGAATAATGATACAGCAGCCTGATGTAGATGAGTTCACAGCCCGTAGCACTCCCAGCTTTCACTCACACCTCAACACTGGGGCTGTTGCACATCTGCCTAAGGAAAACCCAGGGGTGACCAGACCTCCTTTCTCAATGCTGAATATAAGAGTATTACTTTTTCATCTTGATGGAAGCTTGGGTGTGCAAAACCTATTATTTAAACCTAAACATCACAACAATTACCCTTAATAATGACAGGCACTCTGTTTTGCAAGCCATTAAACTTTGGACGGCAACCTGTGAGAAAGGCATGCTTCCCATTATAGACAAGAAGGCTGAATCTCAGAGAGGAAACCTGAGTTGGGTCACTGGGCTAGTAAGCGCTGCAGTCAGGATTCTGATGCAGAATTTTATATTCCAAAATATGCACTCTTCCCCTACTCCAGGCTCCTCTCATTAGTGTTCAAT